GCCCACCCCCCCCCCCCCCCCCCCGAAAATGCAATCAGACGCTCACATTTCCCTTGTATATCACAAGCTGTAGTGGGAGTGCAAAACAGCTTGAACTAGCCCCTTCCCCCCACCCCGGTCTTCATGCTACAGAATGGTCCTTCTCCAGTCCCAGTACAATCACCAGCCTCCGCCCATCCACACCCTCAAGGCTTGTGCTTGAAGTGAGCCTCCACTGTAGGGGGAGAAGAGAAGCCGAGGGTGAGATCACAGACACTGTCTGTCTATCAGAAAGGGGAGTAGGACAGCAGCATAACTACAGAAGGGGGTGTAGCTACAGACGGACATACACTCAATGGCCATTTAATTAGGTAAACTTGCTTGTTAATGTAATCAGTCTGATCCTCCAAACAACAAATTATGTGGCTGTAACTGAATGCAAACAAGACGTTAATGTTCAACTAGACATTTGAATGCGGTGTGACTGCTCATGCCAGAGAAAGCTACTCTCCTGGGACTTTCACACACTACAGTTCCTACCGTTTACAGAGCGTGATGTAATAAGCAAATAAACAGCCAGTTGGCGGCATTTCATTGGCTGAAGACACCCAGCCAATCAGAGAGCTCAGAGGGGAATGGGCAAACGCGTTAAAGCTAACAGGAAAGCCACAAGTGTGAAATAACAGCTCATAACAACAGCCTGGAAGTATGTCTGGTGACAAAAGGGGGCCTTAACCAATACTAGATAATAGGAGTGAAACAATGCAGTCTACTCATGATTTGGTTCGAGAGACGATTCGGGGCTCACAGTTCGACACTCACAACACATTCAACAAAATAAGACGGAAAAACTTCTTATTCATTCCTTTTTAGGCAAAAGCATTAACAAAAAAGTTGTTTGCAAACCATTTCCTTTTATCTTGCAGTTCATTTTCCATATTCTCCATTCGTCCTATAAACTCCAGTGCAAAATTCAAAAATAAAACCTTGAAGCAAAATTGAGCTTCTGCCTTTTGCCTTAAACTTAATGACTGATTTCACCCCACGGTGCCTGTTGTTACACCCCTACGATGTGTATCCTCATTTTTTAATTGTGACATATCGTACTGTGGTATATTGTTACAATCCTTCTAGATATGAGATACATGTATGTAATAAAGTGGCCACTGAGTTTAGAAACAGACAGATACAGGAAATTCAGAGAGGCACACGGGTACAGACAGACACAGACAGGCACAGCACAGACAAACAGGCAGACAGGTACAGACAGACACAGACAGGCAAAGCACAGACAAACAGGCAGACAGGTATAGACAGGCACACAGGTACAGACAGACACAGACAGGCACAGCACAGACAAACAGGCAGACAGGTATAGACAGGCACACAGGTACAGACAGACACAGACAGGCACAGCACAGACAAACAGGCAGACAGGTACAGACAGACACAGACAGGCAAAGCACAGACAAACAGGCAGACAGGTATAGACAGGCACACAGGTACAGACAGACACAGACAGGCACAGCACAGACAAACAGGCAGACAGGTATAGACAGGCACACAGGTACAGACAGACATTGTACAACTGTGTACGTGACGAATAAATATCTTGAATCTTGAAACATGCACACAGGGACTGGCTGACAGGCACAGACACAAACGAGATACAGGAAATACAGACAGGCATACAGGTACAAACAGGCACAGACAGATAGTAAACACAGACAGGAACACAGGTACAGATAGACAGGAAATATAGACAGACACACAGGTAGAGACAGACATATAAAATACAGACAGGCACAAAGTTGCAGGTACAGACACAAACAGATACAGGAAATACAGACAGGCATACAGGTACAAACAGCCACAGACAGACAGGCACACAGGTACGGACTGACTAACATAGACAGGTACAGTCGTGGGTATTAATTTTGTACTATTTTACAGTGCATCGTATATGTCAGTATGAATTCAGGTGTGTGTTTGAGTACACATGTCCATGTGTGTTGACTGCATGCATGAGTGTGTGTACCTGCATACTCCTGTGGCAGCATGGGCCGGTTGATGACCCTCTGGAAGGCGGCGATCCAGTCCTTCTGCTCCGCCTCTGTCTCGCAGGCGAACAGGAACTTCCTGTCCGGGGTGATGATGGTGATGCCGTGCTGCCAGCGGTGACCCTGCGTGGAGGGCGGCAGGCCAGCCTGCACTGCGTAGCTGTTCTCCTTGCTGCCGATGAACACCTCCCCCCGGGCATAGGCGTCCTATGTTGGGGGGGGGGGCAGGTACACAGAGCCCACCCAGTTATATCGATCATGTTTCAAACCCCAAACCCCCAGTGCAGCAGCTCCCCGGACATACATACGTCATCCTATGTCACCTTAAAAGTGACACACATAACAGCGGACCCACCCCCCCACCCCAGAGGCGGACAGAGAGTCCAGCTGCATTTCCAGGCGCCCCCAAGAGAGAAGGAGAACAATGACGAGGAATGATGGCGATGATGCGATGGGTGATGTAAGCATGATGCGATGGGTGATGTAAGCATATAAAGAAAGAGAAAGCGCACGTCCATCCTGTCACCGCGGAGACCGGCAGCACTGCCCAGGGTGACACACGGGTCCCTCTCGGGATTGCCAGCTTACCAGGGGGTCTTTGAAATACATCAGCCTCCTGTCGTCCATGGTGAACCACCTTTTCTTGAAGCCCTCTGTTTGCTGGGAGTCGGGGGGGTGGGGGGGGGGGTGACAGAGGTTTGTGAGTAGGTTGAACCGGGAGGGCGCTTGTTAAATAGCACGTCCGTCATCAATGCGTCCCTTAAAACTCACGCGCTGAGCACCGCACATACGTATAGCACAACGTAACTGAACACAGAAGAACGAGTAGCGCATGGCTTCCGGCAGTCGGGCTCATGCTTGTTCCACAGTAACCGGCGGCGGCGTTTACAACCACTCAAGCCACTCATTTGCATGGGGTCCCTGAGGTTTGGTTGCCCCCATTGACCACAAACAGTCACTGCATTAAATATTAGAGATACACCTTCTTTATTTAGGAGATGCTGAAGCGACACGTTCCGCTAACCTGCTAGCCAGCTACGATTTTCAGTACGCAACCACAAAGCGAATATACCTCACCGGGGCCACAAAAGGAAAGCTAATCAAAGACAGGAAGGTGCTGACAGAACGTTTGCCTAAGGTGACCCGCTCCCTGACCACAGACGCTGAGGAGGCAGCAAATTTTACAAACACAAACGGCAGGGGGGTGGGGGTTGACTTACTTTCGGACCTGTCTTCTCCATAAAACCTTCCTTAATAAAGTTTCTTGTTAGCTTTGGCACCAACTACGAAAGCAGAAAAAATACAATGTGAACTGAGAGACAGCAGAGATGCGGCCGCCGCTGACGAATGAGAGCCTCTGACCGGCCGGCGCGTGCGGAGGGGAAGCCGGAGGCTGGAGACTCACGTCTGCATCGCCGGCTCCAGGGAACGCCACCTGGAGGTAGTGGAATCGAGCCGCCCGGATGGCATTGAACCAGTCCACCATTTCCTGTAGGACAGACGAGGTTTGGTGATGAAGGACTGAGACTCGGAACCAGCACGCATGTTCGAGACCCAGTCAATCCCCAGTAGCATAATTCCAGGTATTAACTCAGTAAACCTCAGCCACACGATTAGGTCATGCTTTAAATTGCCAGTCTCTATACTGAGTAAGAATAATTAAAATCCTATAGCCAATTGTAAGACTCCTAATATCTCCTGTAGTTCAACAAGTAGAGCCTCGTGCTGACAATGCAAAGGTTTGAATCCCAGAGAGGACGTAGAAATTGTAACCTTACAGTAAGTTGATTTGGATAAAAGCATCAGATAAATGAATCAGTGCAAGATCACTGCAGTCTGCATCCTGCTTGATGAAAGCAGGAAGTATTCTTGAAAAACTGAAAATCTTAAAAATGAAACAGATATGAGACATACTCCATCGGAAATTTCAGGCCACGTCCAAGTAGAAAAAAATGTTCTCTTTTAGCAATCTACTGCTGCTGGAATCCAACAGGGGGAGCCGCTTTCTCACTTTCTCAGTGTTGTCTATACAGAGCGCTATTATTAAGCAGGTCAGAAGCATCCGTAAGGAATGATATTCAGCAGCAGTGTGAATATGCAGCTCCAGTATCCCAGTATGCAAATGATTACTGGCCACACCCATAATTCTACAGGCCACGCCCTCAGCGGAAGCACTGTTAAGCTCAGCCAGGGCCCAGCGCAGCCAGCCGCGGCAGTCCAACGATTTCACCGTCGCAAGGCGAAATTTCTTGCAGACACGTCAAAAAAAAAAGGCATTCTGTGGAAAGGGACTCCGGGAGGAGCGAGGTGGGCAACAGTTTCAGACTGCCTGCTCGGCACGGCCACGATGGAGCGGAGATATTTAAAGGCTGGCTGCGTGGGTGATCTCTTACATCTTAAGCCCTTTATATTGGTATTAACAGCAACTTCCTTCTCAGTGGCCTAAATTAAAATGTATTCAATATATTTAATTCACTTAGCAGACGCTCTTGCTTTTTCAATTCCCACACGATGGTACAACAGCAATGCCGTCTTCAGACCATAGGCACACCCTCATATGTGAGGCCTGCCTTTCAGCTGACAGCGACCTCCCCGTCGTCCCCTACCCCGAGGCCGCCTGCCCAGTGCCCCGCCCACACCTTGCCATCCTCGTGGTAGACAAAGATGTTCCTGGTGCTGTTGTCCTTCAGGTAGGTGATCTGGAGTCCATGGGGGCTCCCGATTTTTGCTGGCCGGAAGGTGGCGTTGAGGGTCTCGATTCTCATGGAGGCCTTGGGTTCCCTCGCCTTCAGAAACCAAGACATGCAAAGTTATGTGTTAGGAAGGGGGTGGGACAAATGGGATATCATCCAATCAGAGCCCTCTTTGTTAGCGAACAGTCTGTCTACAAGCCGCCAGATATACTAACTCTTCAAAGGCCTTTTTTTCTACCCTGTTCCTCTTTTAGATACACATGTTTACTTTATTGAGATGCTTCTGTCCAAAGCGACGTACAAGTTAAACAAAGAATATATTACAAACACAAGGCTGTCAAGGAGTCGACTAGGCATGAGCGCAGCTACGCTGAGGTTCCAGTGAATTCACCGAGTTTCCAGTGAATTCACCGAGGTTCCAGTGAATGCCCAGCTGCAAGGTTTAGCATACATGGCCTGACACCTTTACGCAGTGACAGGCTAAAAGCCGTGTACACGGTGTGTGCGTGTGTGTGTGTGTGTGTGTGTGGGCTTCCCCTGCTGGCACGCTGCCCGTTGGCGTACCGACCGCAGACAGACCAGGCCTCCACTCACGTCATGCTTGTTGAAGTACTTCAGGATCCCCTCCCGCTCAGAAAGGATGAACTTTCGGCTCAGGAATTGCCCGTTGTCTCTGCCTCGTTTCCATAGAAACCCCTCTCGGTACCCTGCGTGGGAAATGAGCCACAGTGGTGGCATCTGAAGCAGTCTGGAGGAACACGAACCCCCCCCCCCCCCCCAACAAACCCCGCCTTCTTGGCGCAGTGGGGACCCCCCTGCTGTCAAAACCTGTCATGCATATTAACATTAACACATCGCTGGAAATCAAATACATTTCTGTCTATTTTTAGATCCTAGACGTACAGTAGACTAATTATAAGCAGCTATTGCAGTGCAATTAATTAGAGTAAAATTTATCACCCCCTCATATCCCTCTCCCCTCTGGAATATCTGCCTCACACACACACACACACACACACACACGCACACACACGGGCATCGATTTCACTCTCAGGATGACATCACCGGTCGATACCCTCCTCCATGAGCCAGATCAATCCTGAAATCAATCTGAGACCCATGCCCACCCCCCACCACTGACTCATCATCTAACATGTCTCTGCACATGTACACTTCATTTGTATGGCCTGGGGTGAGGGGGGGTGGATCTCATAATAACTGAATCCCTGGGTGACCGGATCTGCAGCCAGCTGTGGCAGTAACGGCCAATACGGAACCGTGACTCAGTGCTGCTGTAACCCAGTGCAGTCGAAACTGGACTGTTTTATTCGGGGAGGGGGGGCTTCTCCCCAACACACTGTACAAAGGATCCAATCGAAGCTAATGACCCAGGACCTTGTAAAAAGCCATTTTTCTGTACTGGTTCCCTGACGCAGTCCTTCTGATTGCACCCCTTCTGTCAGCAAATCCATCGGTCTAATTAAAGCCCCGCCCCCTTTAAAACACCTTAGCAAGCAAGGAAGGAGTCGGTAGTCAAAGCCCATTAGCATTTAGCAATAGCTAGCAGCATCATACATAACTAACAGCATAAGCATTATAGCATGAACCTGTGATCGCATGCGCTGATGCAGTGTATTTTAGACAATGTAACGAAGGCTTATCAGGCTAATATGAAACGGAGAAGTATATAAGAATGTTGTGGTACTTGGAGGGGAAGATCTATCACAATAGTCACACTGAAATATAAATCCCTCACGAGTTTGTCAGAGATGAGCTGCCAGATGGGCTTAAGCAGATCTGTGTTCGGTAAGAGGGACAAAGGTGACATTCAGCTTGTCAAGTGCTTGGTTTACCTGAACTTTGTGTTCTCTCCCTCTACTCTGACCATGGGGAAGGCAGTAATCATGGTAGTGAAAGACGTCTATCTTCTGGTTTTGACTGCTAGCTGGTTTCCTAGCTGCTAAGTCACCTGCTGGACCTCATAATAACGGCGTTAAGAGGATTGACGTGGAATCCAACCCTGGATCCATCAGCCTGGTGGGGCACGGGGGTAGATGGTGAGGAATCTCAGATGTGGAGTCTGGATAGTGAGCCATGTTTAAAGGAAGAGAGATCATCCAGTTAAGCAAGAGCTAGGCTAGGCTAGGCTAGGCTTCAGTTTGAGCCCCGTGACGAGTGACTACAGAAGAAATACAGAAGTACTCACTGTAAAGACCAGTCATATCCTAACCCTACGCACACATACGAACCAAACAAGGACAGAGAAACGGAGGGTGAGGCGCAGACACCCCCCCAACCCCACGCACCACTACTCTGCCTGCCTCCCTTGGGTGTTGAAAGAAAGCCACAGTAGGTCGGCTGGCAAGGCGAGGAACCAAAGGGCAGACAGGGGAAACCACGCGGCGCACAGGGCCGCCGTCTTCCGTGCTGTGGTCAGCTCCCATGTGACCTCCTCCTGGTGGTTCCATGTCACTGACATTCAAAGGCGTATTGTGCACGATGCAGGGCTGTCAGGCAGGGGTGCACAAAAGGGCCACTGTGATGCCGGTCAACACCGTTTGAGTGCTTTGCCTGCTGGGGGCCAAATTTACATGGCCGTGCCTTTGATCAGCCCCGCACCATGTCTTAACAAAAGGTGGCATTTACTAAGTTAGGCCTGACATTACTCCCCATCACCCCAACGGAGAGTAATGCATAACAGTCATACAGCGACAGTTAGCTCCTCGTACTCTGTAACAGAGCCATGTTAGTTCCTCATAGTCTATAATAGTGACAGTGCCACAGTTAGTTCTTCACACACTGTTATGGTGACAGAGCCACAGTTAACTCCTCATATGCTGTAACAGTGACAGATCCACAGTTAACTTCTCATACACTGTAACAGTGACAGATCCACACTTACCTCCTCGTACACTATAACAGTGACAGATCTACATTTAGCTCCTCGTACACTATAACAGTGACAGAGCCACAGTCAGGTCTTCGTACGCTGTACCAGTGAAAGATCCTCTGTTAACTCCTTGTACACTGTAACAGTGACAGAGCCACAGTTAACTCCTTGTACACTGTAATAATGACAGATCCACAGTTAACTCCTCGTACACTGTACCAGTGACAGATTCACAGTTAACTCCTTGTACACTGTAATAATGACAGATCCACAGTTAACTCCTCGTACACTATAACAGTGATAGATCCACAGTTAACTCCTCGTACACTGTACCAGTGACGGATTCACAGTTAACTCCTTGTACACTGTACCAGTGACGGATTCACAGTTAACTCCTTGTACACTGTAATAATGACAGATCCACAGTTAACTCCTTGTACACTGTAACAGTGACAGATCCACAGTTAACTCCTCATACACTGTACCAGTGATAGATCCACAGTTAACTCCTTGTACACTGTAACAGTGACAGATCCACAGTTAACTCCTCATACACTGTACCAGTGACAGAGTCACAGTTAACTCCTTGTACACTGCAATAATGACAGATCCACAGTTAACTCCTCGTACACTATAACAGTGACAGAGCTACAGTCAGGTCTTCATACGCTGTATCAGTGACAGATCCACAGTTAACTCCTCGTACACTGTAACAGTGACAGATCCACACTTAGTCCTCGTACACTATAACAGTGACAGAGCTACAGTCAGGTCTTCATACGCTGTACCAGTGACAGATCCACAGTTAACTCCTCGTACACTGTAACAGTGACAGATCCACAGTTAACTCCTCGTACACTCTAAGAGTGACAGATCCACACTTAGCTCCTCGTACACTATAACAGTGACAGAGCTACAGTCAGGTCTTTGTATGCTGTACCAGTGACAGATCCACAGTTAACTCCTCGTACACTGTAACAGTGACAGATCCACAGTTAACTCCTCGTACACTGTAACAGTGACAGATCCACACTTAGCTCCTTGTACACTATAACCAGCACTAATGCCACCGGTTGTGCATTCCTGATGCCCGTTACCATGGCAGCAGGTAGGTGAGTGGGCAGATGGGCGATCCTAGGCAGAGCACCAAGCATTATAGCCATTACTTCCCTGTGCAGGTAGGGTGACCTAATCCAAGTCAACAGCGACACTATGAGCTACAACAGGGTTTCATTACAGCCATTTCAGTTAAAATGACCCGGATTTCACGCACTGAGATCTTGCTGAGTGCTGATTGGTCTCCTATAATCGTGGATGTGTCACTAATGTTAATATGAAACAGCTGGATGAGTCTTTCAATCAAGGAAACAAACCAGTCAAAGCACAAGAAGAACTGAACTATTCAGCTGAGCACGGGAGCCGTTCAGTCTTAGTCTGTAAAACCTTTAGTTGCTGGTCGTGTCCCTCCTGGCGTGGATTAGATGGTCACCCTGTCAGATGACAATGTATGGAGTCTAGTTTAGTGACCTGGAGACCATTTAGTGGGAGGCACAGATTTTGTAGCCAGTAGGTTTCTCCATCTACAGGCACCACATTCCCTGAACCCCCCCTTCAGATTCACGTTATTCATACGTCGGGTGTCATGTTTAACCCTAACCCCCCCCTCCTCGACTGAAGCATTCTCAGACGCTTGACGTGCTTTTGAACGTCATTTCACTTGGGAGCGCAGCTACATTCACCTCCAGACCTCTTTGAAACTTGATCTCCGGTTCCCCACAGCTTGTGACCACGTTGACGACCAGTCATAATTCACAGCCTGGTTCCCGACACGGGGCGTGGAAAGCGTTTGGTTTTTATGGTGGCCGAGACAGAGAAAACAAGAGATTGATGCCTGGTGTATCTCCTCCCGCGGGTACGCCGGCCCGTGTCGGCCTGAGACAGACAATACGCCCTTTCAGTGCGTCACACTAGACTCGGAACAATGCTGTGTTTTTTTTTCTTTCTTTCTTTAAGTCAGGCAGGGCCCTGAAAAGGGGGTGGGGGGGGGTGTAGGTGTCACTGGATGAAAACTGGTTATGGAACTGGACTTTCGAGCGGCACATGGTGACTCTGCAGGGACACTTTTGAGGAAGTTAAACTGTAGCCTAAAAAAATACAGGAAAAGCCGGCACCCCGGAAAGAGACATTAACGACACATCTGAACTGCCGCCTACAGCACAAGTTATTGGTCTGCTACCCAGAATACCTCTGAAAATGCTTGCGTGAAGTGAGGTGTGAGTCATAGCTATTGAGTTTGTTTAAAAGTGCCTTTAAGACAAGCAATGTGTGATGTTTGCTGGGGGAAAATATCCCCCTTTCAGAGAGGAGGGCCTGACCTCTCCCTTGAAACCCGTTGCTCTTTATGTGAACCACAGTGCTCTGTGGTTAGGGGTGTGAACACGTGACCAAAACAGCGTTCGATGGAAGGAGATTTGAGCAGCTTCTGTAGAAATGCTCATGCTCGCTTCTATGAGGCGGGGGGCTACGGCCGGTGGCCAGACGGCGGATGATGGCAGCGCCTACCTGCTGAGTATGGCTCCTGCTTCTCGATGTACATGAACTCGTTCCTCTCGTACCTGGCGTGGAACCACTGCTCCCGGAGAACTCTGCAAGGAACCGCAAGCTTCAGCCAGGCCCACTGGGCTTCCCTTAAGTCATTTGATACCGCAAAGCTGTTCAGTCGATGGGCCCATTCGAAGGCCATGTGGACATTCATTTTACCCAGGAATTTAATTGAACACCAGCCCTTTGTTTTACCACAGAAATTAACTGGATAACAGCTTTTGGGTGACTTTGTTCCACTGTAGAACATGATTGGATGGTGGCACTATGTCTAAACCTGATTGGGCGATGGGCCTTTGTTTTAACACACTGCACTCTCACAGCGGTGCAAGTTCTGCAGATTCATGAGATAATCATTAGGCAGTAAGCCCTCTGTACATTCTCAAGACTTATCTGTCTTCCTGCCTCTCTGCATGGATGTGCCCTCTATCGCCCCTTCATCCGCTTTCCCGGCGCTCTGTGTGTGGGTATAAAGAAACTGATTCCGTTCTGCAGGTTCTGGTTCTGATTCCGTTTCTGCAGGCTGCTAAGTTCCCTATCATTACTGCTGTCCCGCAGGGCGCCCCAGAAACTCTGTGAGGGTGATCGACTGGCCGACTCCCGCCACAGCGGCACAACTCACAAAACCGGTTTTTCAGGAAAAGGGCAAGCATGCCATAAGTGGTTTTGGTCGTTCAGCTGCATAAAGTGCCTCCCCCCAAACTGTGTATAAGCCCAGACCTTCAGTCCTGGGGGGCGGCAGCCCCGGTAAATATGTCACCGGTGGTAAAATGCCAAATGGCCGCTGAACACGAGCTGGCAGCGTACTGCCACACCTGGAGGCTTCGTGCCGTTCTCTGCTCCATGGCAGACATGTCACCGCTAAGGTCACGTGTGGGCAGGGGGCAACCATTCCGTCGCCATATTGGCGCTTCCTGCACGTCAGGATGCCACTTCTCACGCCATGAGCCTTATAGGGTACAAAGGGGCTGAAACAGCCCCGGTCATAGACTGCTTCCCGACCACGGGCAGCTTCCTGACCGTTTCCTGACCATGAGCCGCTTCCTGACCGCAGGCTGCTTCCCAATCATAGGCCGCTTCCTGACCATGAGCCGCTTCCCAGTCATGGGCCGCTTCCTAACCGTGGGCCGCTTCCTGACTGCAGGCCGCTTCCTAATCATGGGCCACTTCCTGACCATAAGCCGCTTCCTGACCGCAGGCTGCTTCCCAATCATGGGTCGCTTCCTGACCATGAGCCGCTTCCCAGTCATGGGCCGCTTCCTAACCGTGGGCTGCTTCCTGACTGCAGGCCGCTTCCCAATCATGGGCCACTTCCTAACCGTGGGCCGCTTCCTGACCGCAGGCCGCTTCCTGACCATGAGCCGCTTCCCAGTCATGGGCCACTTCCCAACCGTGGGCCGCTTCCTGACCGCAGGCCGCTTCCTGACCGCAGGCCGCTTCCCAATCATGG